CAAAAGTCTGAGCCCTTTCGGTTATACTTTTAATCATTATAGCGAATGACTTTTTCTTTTTACTTTTAACTGGATGCATGGGTTGTGTTATGCATGTATCTAGAGTTATAGGAATGTTTTATTTTCCAAACACGCTCACCACATTGTCACCCTGTTCATAGTTAATGTCATTGAATGTTGGCTTTTTCTTTTTTATTATTAGGGCTTCCATTATTTTTAATCTTTTTTACATGTGGATGAGGTTATTATACTTATATTTTCTACTAGTATGTTTCGGATAGTGTCTGGTAGGTTTTGTGTGTGTTTAAATGAGTCCTAATGGAGCTGTGGTCGGATAGGTATAACGTAAGTCGTCTGGATAGGCATGTACTAGTGTAACCGATGTAATTATTTTCAAAAGAAGAGGGCGTTTCACGTTCGTTGTAGACCAGCTGATGGCTGATGAGGACTATACGACTATTCTATTAATTTGGTGTATTTGAAACTTTTTGGCAACGTGGAGTGGGGAAATTTTAAGGAAAATGGAAGAAAAGGACACTTGTACTTAGAATCAGACAGAGTAAGTTGAAATTTCTAGGACATCATAATGAAGAAAGCAGCCTTGGAAAATGTAATACTCACAGGACATATTGAAGAATAATTTACTGAATGAGCTTGTGCCAGTGGATGACAGAACAGGGAGTTGGAGGGATAGACAAAAAGACAAATATTGTTTAGAGTTGCAACTGTTGTTGACAACTATGATTGTAGGTTTGATGAATTAGATCGTGATTACGATTCCAATGTAATAAATTATAACCATGGAATATTAATGTTTGAGCCTTTTTTTATATATATATATATATATATATATATATATATATATATATATATATATATATATATATATATATATATATAATTTTTAATAATGAACCAAATGTTTCTTTTGGATTACTATCTGGAGAGACCGTGGGCCATTCCATTAATTCGGTGTCTTTGAAACCTTTATTTGGCAAGATGGGCAATATACAGCTATGAAGTAGTATAATCTTACACGAATATACTCTTTTGCATTTTATATATGCTCTTTTTCATGCGACTGATAAAAATGTTTATATATCAGAAAATTTTGCCATATCCCCAACGACAATCAACTTAAAGATAAACGTTGAACTATCTCCTACACACGCACACACACTGACACGTACACATATTGATTGATTAATCTGTTTTTACGGTTTACCAACACTTTGCAGGTTATTTAAAGCCGGTAAATATTTTTAGAGTACAAGAATTTATGGGGGAGATAATAATGATACCAGTCTTAATAATTAACCTCTAGTTAGGTGGGAGAAGGGAGAAGAGGTGGATTCATACGTTTCCCAAAGGGTATTTGCGATTAAGTGTATATAACGAGCCCGACTGGAATTAAAATTCGGCTTCTCGACTTCTAATTCTGAGCCGTTATCTATTACACCAACCGCACATGTAAGCTTAAAGCACCTGATATTCCGAAGCGGTTACCCATCGAGTTACTGACCAGGCTCGACGTTACTTAACTTCCGTGATCGCACGAGAACTGGTGTTTCATTGTGATATGGCTGTAAGCCGATACGTACACCCGATATAGTCCCACAGAGATAAATACACTCAAATATTTATTCAATTATTCGAGAAAAAAATTCCTGGTAAGCCTATATGTCCCTATTCTAGTATGACTGTGCATCACAAGGAATTTTATTTTCCCAGTAAAGTTAGAGGTTTAGTAAATGATATGAGTTGTAGTGCAGTGTGGTATTCTGATGGCTGTAACACGACATTTTTAGCTTTCCTTGAACATATGATGAAATCTCGTTTAAAAATACGAGCGTCTCATCTGACAGCTAAACTATTAATGACCGAAAATAGTAAAGGCTTATAATATTCACAATGGCAAAAATATAGCATCAACCTTAAAACACCGTTGTCATTCTAGTGTATACACACACACACACACACACACACACAGATAGATAGATAGATAGATAGATAGATAGATAGATAGATAGATAGAAAGTAATGAACAGGCTGAATTAGATTAAACAAACTCTCAAAATAATGACTTTTTTAATTGCATTGTTGATGAACAAATTAGACGATCGATTAAACCAAAAAGAACATAAACCAAAAAGAACATAATACTTCCTCAAATAACGCTAAACATATCAACCTAATCGCTATCAAATACACCCTAAGTATAAACAAGATGAGATAAAACTAAAATAAAAAGCTCATAAGTACTTATATATCCCCCACTGATCCCAGTAAAAAATAAAAACTAATTATATACTATACTAAATTTAATACAACCAACTCTTCTCTGCATTAATTTTTGTCTTGGCAATTCACCTCTGAAGATGATCTTGGATGAAATTGGAAGTATTTGGGAAAATAAAATAAATATCCAAAAGTACAGCGTCTTTCTTACTCAGTTTTCTAACAGCACGAAAAAAATGATCCTTGAATTTGGGAGGACTAAAATAAAAATAAATGGACATAATATGTTTAGATTATTCAACCTAACATGCTTAGGGGGGAATTGCCAAAACAAAAATTAATGTAGAGAAGAGTTGGTTGTATTTTATACACTTTTATATTTATATTTACATACGCTCTATCTCTAATATTGATCACTTTATCCCATAAATATAGCACACCTTATAACTATATTCCTTCATATATATATATATATATATATATATATATATATATATATATATATGAACTGGGATCAAATATAGATCAGATATGGATCGGAATCCGACAAAATGATAGGATAAAGAACAAATTGGAAACGTTTATAAATGTAATATGTGTCGCTTTTATTAACGGTTCATCAGAGGCTGAGATAGTGAAAAGAATTCTGATATTTTTATTCTTGTGTTGTTTTAATCTTATTGCTTAAGCAGACTTTACGGACAGTTCATGTGTATAATTTATGTGTGTAACTATGTAATTCTAGTTGGTCTATGCAGGATTCGGATATGTTTGTATACATGTATTTTTTCCATATCTCCTTCTCTCATGAAACTTTAATAAAAGTAAAACATGTTACATTTGTAAACGCTTCCTATTTTTTACCCTATATATATATATATATATATATATATATATATGTGTGTGTGTGTGTGTGTGTGTGTGTGTTAAATTTAACGTACCATTTATTTCAAGTGTTTCATTTTGGCAAAGTAAATTTATGACTATTTTAATGTACACTTTAATCTTGTATATAAGCATATTTGAAATATTCAATTTGCATCAATCTCTTTCTACAATATAATAAGATATAATACAATAAGACAAAATATATAGTACATTCGGAGAAAGAGTAAAGTTCACTACTTTTGAATCCTTCTAAAAACTCAAAATACTAGAAGTTATAAAAAAAAAGATAATCCTGTGGTTTCTCAAGTAATTATTTTTTTTACCGAGCCGAATTGCCAGCCCCACTAATCCAACCGGTTTATATATATGGAGATGTTACTGTCTCGTCGCTTTTTTGTATGTATATATATCTAAATATGTCTGGGTGCTTATGTATTATAATCTGATAGTGTTTTTGTTGTTTTGCGCGTGAGTTTAAGACCCCATTCACACACTTGGTATTAAAATATATATACATGTATTGTCAAATGACCGGATATTGTAGCGTCTGTTCTAACGTAATTTCAACGAAGAAATAAATTGAATAACATATGTATTTTTTCTTTTCTCCTCAGTAATTTTATAGTTTTTAAACTTAATAGTGATTAAATTTGGATTTTAAAATTGGCAGTTTTTAATTTTAATATCAAATTTTATTATATAATTTAATAATTATTGGTTAGAATAAATTCTTTTTTAATATTACCCGTATTTTAAAGATCTGAATAGCTATTATAACATGATTTCGTTGTCAAGCTTTTGAATCTTCCTATACTTGGGTTTTGATTGGTCATTCTAGCTTTTGTAACAATGTTTTCCCCTAGCGAAGGATCGTTAATTAATTTGAAACTTTTAAAACCATTTATTTTATATTCAACATCATCACTTGATAAGACACCGAGGGTGTTGAAACAAAATGGCTATTTTTGTAGTGATTTTATAACATATTTATGTTATAATTTTTTTTTTTTTATATAAAAAATAATTATATCTGCTCTACTTTGTATTGAGCACTCTTTTAAGAATAATAATTGTTGGTTATTGGAATTCATTCCGTATACACCAATTATATACTTGGGTATATATATATATATATATATATATATATATATATTGTGCTTCCCCTTGTTTCGTTGCCAACCAAGGCAAAAGAACCGAGTTTGCCCTATTTTGCCAATAACTGGAGGAAGATGTGTTATTGCAGTTTTCCTTCCTAGTTTTTATTTCCTTTCATCTTTATTTTTCATTAAATGAAGCATTGTCAGCCATTATTATTCTTGATAGCATATAATTTCAACTTCATTCTTTATTAGAGAAATAATTGTTAACTACCATTATTCATTTTGGACAACTATTCGATCTAATCTGAATAGTTTTATCCAAGAAATACATTTCTTTCTGATGGCTGTCACTCCTACTTTCTCCACGTTTTTTATTACATTCGCTAATCTTTACATTGTCCTTCTCAATCTCCAACAAACTGACACACATACAGACAGACATAGACACACAGCGACACACACACAGGTGCAGAAACATTTATCAATTAACAGCGAAAAAATTCCTGGTAAATTTCTTCCTTTTTCATAGTGAAAATCATTCTAGCGTGACAATTGCTCATTTTTTAGAAAATGTGTTTCCTGTTAGTCAAGTGAAACTCACACGCGCTTGAAAACGCAATTGATAAAAGCTTGTCGGTTCGCGGTACAGTCATAAATCGTCGGGGTTTTCGCAAAGACGAAGCAAAATGACTTCCCACCAACTAATCCACGTCGGTCTTCCACACTTGACAACAATTCCGATATATTTGATCTTGACCAATGTTCTCATTACTGGTAAGTGATAATCACCTTTTTAACGTTTTTCTTTTTTTTTTATCATTTCACACAGAGCAAGGCGATGAAGCCACCAAGACGCATGGTGAGTGTGAAAGAAACTGAGAAAATGTTACTCAAGATAAAGAACAATACATTTACATTTTTGAAGATCGTCGTTTACAGGAAAACAAGAAGCCGGAAGAGAGTTCTAATTGCGAGAAGTGCGCGAGAAAAAATGATTAGAATAGAACTTACAATTACATATAGTAATTTCGATAGTAAAACTGTAATCTAGCTACCAAGATAGATACTGGCACTACACAGTGAACCAATTTTTTTAGCAGCAGATTTAGCAATTAATTCGATATCATCGTTCCAGTTCATATCAATAGAAAAAGTTAAATCGAGAAGGCGCAATGGGTTATTCTCCTTGGGGTTTGCATCAGTCAAGCTGATGGAAGGTAAAAAAAAAATTCTCTTTAATATTGTTTGTGTTTGATTTAGAAATAGACAAGTCGAAGAAGAGCCTTTTTCGCTGGTACAGGTTTGATAAACGTCATTGATTCAAATTTTCCATCCTATTAAAATAAGGTGAAGGAGATTCTTTCTATTCACGGTTTCGTAAATACAGAAATGATTCAACCGTCATTTTCCTACACAGCACAAAATGACTCACATATACACGTGTATGCACTGATACATGTACATATTAGTATGCCAATATATAACAAGACAGAAGACTTATTCGTGACGCGTTTATTAACAAGAATAAAATTTTGTCAGGCAACGATTTTATTGACAGATACATTCTTATATATCAGAAGGAGAAAGAGATTGGAGAAGGGCTAAGGGAGAATTACAACAAACGTCGGCTGCATCGAAACGTTCAAGATAGAGAGACGCTCAGTATTTAAATTTAAGATGTTCTTTTGCCCAGTGATATCGTCATTTTTTTTTCTTTTTAGTTAATGATGACTTTTTGGGGGGTTAAATTAATTTTAAGTAGTATTCTAACTGTATGAATTTTATACTTTATTAATAATGCTGCTTTCAAACATAAGTTGATATACTGTTAATTTTCCGTTGGATACTGATAACCTCAATTTCTTTGATCTTTTCGTCTAATTTCAAAGTTCTATCAGTCTTTTTCATATCCAAAATGCCTACATTGGCTTTGCTTCTTCTAGATGACTTGGACATTTATATTACAAGCTCTCCAGCAATTTCACGTTGAATCATTCTTTCTGATATTTCGATGATTTTCATTGTCCTTTTCAAACTCTTCCTATTTTGAAACCTAAATGAACTCCACTAAAAAGAGAAGTTGAGACTCCAGACACAGCGTATCTTAATCTGGCATTATATTAATCATGAGTGGGGGGGTGAAGTGTTTTTTTAGTGTATATATATATATATATATATATATATATATATATATATATAAAAGACAACAATTCAAAATACGTATCCTCCATACACAAAGAAACTGCCAAATTAGCATTTAAATATAATATTGCTGATAGAATGGGTACAACTCATCTAAAAGAAGCCTACCTACTATTTAAAGACCATAAACCTAACTTTCAGAATAATCTACAGTCCAGACTAATAAATCCCTCCAAATCAGAGTTAGGAATAATATCTAAAAACATCCTAAAAAGAGTAAACACATCTATATTAACAAAATACCCGTTAAACCTTTGGAAAGATTCATCGGACACCATTAACGGGTTCCAAAAAATAAAACATAAAAATAAAACTACTTTTATACAACTTGATATTATCGATTTCTACCCCTCAATCTCTAAAGAGTTATTAGAAAATAGCTTAAGTTTTGCCAAAATCCACACTGATATTACTGACGAAGAAATAAAAATCATAATGGACTCTAGACAGTTCATACTAAAACTGAACAACACTACTTGGATTAAAAAAGACAGAGACAACTTCGATGTCCCAATGGGATCATTTGATTCAGCTCAAATAGCTGACCTAATAGCTATATACATTTTAGAGATCATAAGTAGATTCCTTGAACCTCAAAATATAGGACTATACAGAGATGATGGATTAGTTGCTGTACCTGATACCAATGGTCTGTTAACATCCCAACTACAAAAGAAAATAATTAGGGCCTTCAAATTTCTAGGGTTTAAAATCGAGATTTCTTCCAACTTAAAAATAGTAAACTTCCTAGACGTTACATTTAATCTGAACAATAACACTTATAAACCCTTCCAAAAGGAAAACCAATCACCCATATATATAAATATCCACTCCAATCACCCGAAATCAATAATTAAACAAATTCCAAATACAGTAAATGCAAGAATAAATAAACTCTCCTCCAGTAAAACCAGTTTTTAACCAGAATAAATCGGAATACGATAAAGCCCTATTAAAAATTAATTTTAAACTGACACTAAATTATATAGATAAGTCAGTAAATAAAAAATCCACGAAACTCAAAAATAGGAAAAGGAAAATTATATGGTTCAACCCACCTTTTTGTAACCTCTCCAATATTAATATAGGTAAATACTTCATGAAACTCATAGAAAAACACTTTAGCAAAAATGCATCTCTAAAAAAGATATTCAACAAGATGAATCTAAAGATTAGCTATTCTTGCATGGATAATATGGAAAGAATTATTAGCTCACACAATAGTAAAATCTTGAGAGACCTTCATGATAATCTAATACAAAATCATGACACAACACGAATGGAAGAATCAACATGCAACTGCAGGACAAGATCAGAGTGCCCAGTTGAAGGAATATGCATGGCAGAGAACAAAATATATGAAGCAACAATTTTCCCCAAAGAAAAGGTTGAGGAGAAAAAGATATACCTAGGAATATCGGCGGGAGATTGGAAACACCGACTGTACAACCATCGCCAGTCCTTCAAAAAAAAAGTGTAAAAAAAAAACCAAACGGCACTATCCAAACATTATTGGGATTTGTTGGAGAGTATTCCTAACCCCACAAATAAAGTGGAAAATAATATCAAGAGCCAGAACTCAAAAAAAAATTCAGAGACAGATGCGACTTATGCATAAAGGAAAAATCTTCATAATCAAACATAAAGATCCAGACATATTACTAAACAGACACAATGAACTAGTTTTTTTTTTGCCGGCAAAAAAACAACCTAAACCCAAGTAAATACATTGATGTTTAATTATATAGGAAGAATAACATTGAATGATTTTTGTCCCTTTTGCTTTTGGAAATATTACTTTGCACGCATGAACGCCAACACATGACTGTATGTATACAACTATGATATTGTACTTGAACACTGATGCACCTGTTGATATGTACATGTATATGTTTTTATATGGAAAGAGAAATGGTTTTTTTTTTTTTATGTATAAAGCCTGTGGAGGTGTACAATTAGATAGGTACCTATATGTTTTATCATAGATATGAAAGAGAGCGGGGCAATACATGTGTAAAGATAGGTATAATTATACGATTTTCAGTCGTATCCATAACGTAATTAAATATTGATATAGTCTTCGAATGCAGGTATAAGTGGGTGTATGGGTGGACATGAGAATAGAAAATCATGTACGTGTGTATATGTGTGTACGTGCATATGTACGCATATGTATGTATGTATGTATATATATTGCATATTATGTATGTGCATGTATGTGTGTGTATGTGTGTGTGTGTGTGTGTATAGTATGTATGCATATGTGTGTGTGTGCATGTGTATATATGTAGATATGTGTATAAAAATGTATATGTGCGTATGTACATGGATGTATATGTATATGGATATGCAGGTGATTTTATGGGTGTATAACGTATATATGTAAGTATAAATGTTTGTGTAGATAACCAGTATGTAGATTTGTGTATGTAAACTTCTCTGCAGGTGTATATGTGTAAATACAGGGAATATACATATAGTTTTTTTCTAGGTTCTGGATGTGTGTGCAGGTGTATATAAGAACTCATAAATATATAGTGAGATATAGGTATGTGGATATAGATATTTCAGACATGTATGGAAGTGTATATGAGTATGGATATATAAAGATTGTAAAAGAAGGACCTAATTTTCTCCTAGTAATATTTTATCCAAGTTTCTCCTCTAATATTCTCCAATTGGAAGTGAGTTTAAATAACACGGAGGTAAAGTTTAAATTGGTAATTTGATTTAAATTGAAATATACTACCCTTTAACAATTAGTATTGACGATAAAGTTATTTAAATTGAAAGAACCTTTTTGATAATTATGTAGGTATATTAAAAAAAAAGTCACGAGTTTAATCGATGAACAAAACTGAAACGAATAAATGTCAACTGAATAATCAACTCGAGTTTATTTAATTAATGAACAAAATCAAACGAATAGATGTCAACTTAACAATCAACAAAATACGAGTTTAGAAAATAAAAAAATTATTAAAAAATATAAAATGGATTACTTTTCAATGTACTCTCTATGAGCTTTTCCAATCGACTGTTTCATAGAAAATACCCAAAACTCCAACGAACTTCAAATTAAATTCTTCGTAGATTGTTTAGACATTTAGATTTATATCAAAACTTAACCTCCCAAATATGCCCTTTAAAGTAATGCGAATTAACAGCGTCTAAGATTTTGAATGAAACCTGCCCTCGTGAAATGTAATTTATTAGGGTTGTTGTAGCTTCTTCTTTTAATGTCGGTCCTCTCCCCCACCCCTTACCCACCTATATCTACAGACAATAAGCGTTAGCCGACACACAGTGGGGTTAAGAATAAGGAATTGAAATGGTACATCTAACCCACTCATATCTTCTCTCCCACCACACTTCCTCACTTCGTTAATTTTACATATGCTTGATGCGGTCCGTCAAAAACGTGTGAATTTCTTTTCATTTTTCATTTCAACCTTTGGAAGTAAAGTCTGATGATCCAAAGCCCTGTTAAAGGGGTTATGGGGAAATAACTTATTACATGGAACCTTAAAGTGGTCTGTTTTTATTCAAACATATATATCTGAATTTAAATT